CGAGCAGGTCTCGGACCGTGGCGATGGGCGTCCGCACTGGCTTTGAGAGAAGCCGCTGAGTACCCGCGCACGGACAGACACCGCTAAACCATCGCACCGTTCAATATTATCTAAGTCGCTTTCTGGGACTTGAGACGTGCATCTGAGGAGGAACTGGCTTCAGAACCAGCCAGGGCCTTGCCCACACACACGCACACACACAAAAGTTGGGGTCGCTACCCCGCTCCACGGTGCCGTTGGCCGAGAGGTGGGGTTCACGCTTCAAAAGGGCGACTCCCTCGTGTGGGAGGCTAACATCTTGGTCGGTGTCGGGCGCTGCAGGGCGCCAGCAGTCGGGCGCCGTGGTGATAAGGTCCCGCAGCGTGAGGTGACCGCGGATGTCGACCCAGACGTCCACGAGCGTATCTGGCAGCTTCCCCTTCAAAAAGCCTCCTGAAGCCGTTGACCACGTAGCTGGAGTCAACGACATGAAGCCCAAGCTTCTGAGGAGGGAGCTGTTCGAGGAATTGCTTGAAGGCCCACGCTTTGCCTCTGTTCACCGTCTGGCGACGCCCATGCAGCGGGCCACCCGGATGCCGGAGGCGCCGCTGAAGAAGACCGCGGCCCAGCCCACGCGCCGAGGGCGAGGGTCTGCAGCCGAAGCGCCCCCGCTGGCATCGCCGCCCCCCCGTATCGAGCCAGCATTATCGCCCGTGTCCCCGACCGCCTGGCCGAAGAAGATTGGACTGTGCTTATTCGATGGGGGCGCCCCGCGGGTCTAACTGCCCGGCATGAGGTTCCTGAGCCAGAATCACGGCAAACGTGCGGCGTCCTCGATGGCCCGTCGCACGAGCCGGTCGGAGCGCTTCTGGTGCTTGTTGTTGCGAGGGCAGCCCCAGTATCTGTGTATGTCGGTCTCGACGTCAAGGCCGCAGCGGGGGCATATGTCAGAGTCGACCTGGCCCCACTCCTCGACGATGCGGCTCCGCGTCCACCCTGCGCCGGTGAGGATCGCCATCTGGGCGCCGTACCACTTGTACTTATGCTTCTTCCTCAGGCCGTTCTGCGGACGTGGGAAGATGTCGGGGGGGGTTGTTCAGCAGGCTGGTGCCGTGTCGGTACCTGGTAGCCTTGGTCCAAGGAGACCTCCTAATGGATTCCCGCAGGGCCTCCGTGACATCGCGAAGGTCCGCATCTGGCGGGACAGGCTTGCCGCTCACAGGGCAGCCGTATTCGTTCTGCAGGTCGTCGAAACAGCGCCATGGCCCCTCGGGCCGCCACCCGAGATGATCCAGCTGCGCGATGCGGGCCTGCGTGATGCCCCCGACGCGCGTGAAGCGAGCCTTCGAGGGCCGCGACATGCCTGTCGCCTTGGCCCGCGTCCAAGTCCGCTCGATGCTGCGGAGCCTGGCGCTGCCCTCGCGCCTCTGCCGGCGACGAAGGAAGATGTATACGAAGAAGGCGGCGCTTGGCCGCCGCTGCTCGGACGGATGATGATGACGATGATGTTGACGACGACGATGACGACGACGATGATGATGACGGTGATGATGACGATGGTGATGACGATACTGATGATGATGCTGTTGATAACGATGACGATGGTGATGATGCTGCTTCTGATTATGAGGAGGGGGATGAGGCTGAGGCTGAGGCTGAGGCTGCCGATGATACTGAGACTGATGATGATGATGATGATGCTTCTGATGATGCTTTTGATGGTGATGCTGCTGATGATCCTGATTCTGACGATGCTTCTGATGATGATGACGACCATGACGACGACGACTATGATGATGATGATGCTGCTGCTGATGATGATGATGATGGTTATGATGATGCTGCTGATCATGATGTTGATTATGCTGGTGATGCTGATGATGGTAATGATGATGCTGCTGCTGACGATGATGATTACGTTGCTGCTGATGGTGATGCTGAGGATGATGATGGTGGTGATGATGATGGTGCTGATGATGATGCTGCTGATCATGATGTTGATGATGATTATGATGATGATGATGATGATGATGATGATGATGATGATGATGATGATATCGACTATGATGATGATGATGATGATGATGATGATGATGATGATGATGATGATGATAACGATGATGATGATGATGACGATGATGATTCTGATGCTCTGATGATGCTACTGATGAGCAAAACGATCATGATGACTATGATGATGATGACGACCACGACGCCGACGACGACTATGATTATGCTGATGGTGATGGTGATGATGATGCTACTGTCGATGTTGATAATGCTGATGATGACGATGCTGATGATGGTGATGGTGATGCTGCTGATGATGATGAGTTCGCTGCTGCTGCTGATGATGAAGACGGTGGTGGTGGTGGTGATAGTGAGATGATGTTGATGACGATGGTGAGGATGGTGGTGGTGGTGGTGGTGGATGACAAGGATGGTGGTGTTGTTGAGGATGGTGGTGGTGGGGAACTGATGTTGGGGACGATGATGATGATGATGCTGCTTCTGCTGACGATGATGGTGGTGGTGATGATGATAATGATGATGCTGATGATAATGATGAGGTGATTATTTCGATGATGATGGTATTGACTATGGTCATGATGGTACTTATAATGATGATGCTGATGGTGCTGCTGGTGATGATGATATGGTGATGATGATAGAGATGATGTCGATGGTGATGATGCTGCTGCTAATGATGATGGGGATGAGGCTCAGGCTGAGGCTGAGGCTGAGGCTGCGGCTTATGGTCATGGGGCCGCTGCTGATGCTGCTGCTGATCTTGGTGACGATGAAGATAGTCATGATTCTTCTGCTGCTGATGATGATGAGGAAGAGGAGGAGGAGGAGGAGGAGGAGGAGGATGAGGGGGAGGAGGATGAGGCTGAGACTTCGGCTGAGGCTGCGGCTGGTGCTGATGCTGCTGTTTTTGATGCTGATGATGCTGCTGATGATGATGATGCTGATGCTGATGCTGATGATTCTGATGATTCTGATGATGCTGATGATGCTGTTGGTGTTGATGATGATGATGATAATGATGATGATGATGATGATGATGATGATGGTGATGATGATGATGATGCTGATGAGGATGCTGCTGATGATGATCATGATTATGATGAGGGTGCAGTTGATGATGTTGATGCTGCTGCTGGTGATGGTGATACTGATGATGAAGCTGCTGATGATGATGTCGATGGTTCTTCTGATGATGATGCTGATGATGATTATGATAGTTGTAGAGGAGGAGGATGAGGGGGAGGAGGAGAAGAATGAGGAGGAGGGTTAATGGAAGGGAGGGATGAAGGATGATGAAGTTTCGGGAGGTCGCCAGAGGTCCCCAGAGATCCTGATCGCTTGAGGAGGACACCGTAGGGCCCTGGAGTCTGTAAAGAGGGGGCAGACGCGTCGATGACAGATTCTGATGAGGATGATGATGCTGATGATGTAGATGATGATGATGCTGATGATGATGCTGATGATCATGATGATGCTGCTGCTGATGATGCTGCTGCTGACGTTTAAGGTCATGATCCTGATGAAGAGAATGATGGTGATGCTGATAATGATGGTGATGGTGATGGTGATGGTGATGGTGATGGTGATGGTGATGGTGGTGAGGATGATGACGATGACGATGATGATGATGATGATGATGATGATGATGATGATGATGATGATGATGATGATGATGATGATGATGAGTTCGCGGCTGCTGCTGCTGCTGCTGCTGATGATGATGATGATGATGAGGATGATCATGCTTCTGCTAATGATGATAATACTGATGATGATGCTGATGATGATGGTGATGATGATGATGCTGATGATGTTGGTGGTGGTGGATGTTTCGGTGGTGGTGGTGGTGATGATGATGGTAAAGAGGAGGAGGAGGAGAAGGAGGAGGAGGAGGAGGAGGAGGAGGAGGAGGATTATGGTGGGAGGATGAGCAGTACCACGAGGAGGAAGAGCAGGCGAGGTGGCGTGTGCGTATGGTGGGAGGCTATAGCCAACAAATTCTGCGCATGCAGCGCCGGGGCTTTAGATGGAAGCGAACGGACTGGAAGCAGCTACATCTATCCTCTGTCTTGGCGACCCGAGCTTGGCCGGTACGGTCAGGAATGTTTGATTAGCGTATCGTGCTGCCGGTTCTGGCCCAACACGTTTCGACGCGACACTCGAAATACGTCCTGTTCCCTGAACGTCAGCGTCTCGAGCTTTTCCCAGCCTCTCACCCCGCTGAGCGGAGCGACACGCCATCCGCCGGGGCCGCCGGCCGCTGCGACAAGCTGAGCACCAGCTCCCGACCGTAGCCTAAGGCCAGGCTTAAGTCGGGCCTGTCCCTCTACAGGAGGAATATTCAAAAAGGTCCCCAAATACTCAGGGAACGTTTTTTTTGTTGACTGGTTTCGATCCTCCCTGGAGGATCTTCTGACCATCTGTCATTTTCCGTCCACAGTCCGCCTGCAGGAGGACATGCCCGACTTTCGCAGGCCTAGAGGTTGACACCAACACCAATTTCGGCGGTGTGCCTCCACCGAGGGAAGACGATCCCGATCTCGGTGATGGTGGTACTATTCTGGCTTCCCAGGTGGCCAACATGTTACCACCAACACCGAAATCAAGGATCACCTTCCCCCTGTGGTGACAACCCCCTTGTGTTGGCGTTGGCGCCCATTTCCAGGCCTCCAAGACTTGGAGAGGCCAGGCGCAGGCCGAGGGCGGTGAGAGACCGGCCCCCGGCGCTCGCCCAGAAGCCGGCCCACGGCCCGGACCTCATCACCTACGTGTGGGGAGGCGCCGCCCGCACGCCTCGCGCGCGGGCGCGCGCGGCGGCTCGCGGCGGCTCGGGGCCCCCCAAGGCCCGGAGGGCTCGAGGATCGAGGCTCGAGGACCCGCGTCGAGCCTGGATGCTCGACACGGGTCGAGGACCGAGGCTATCCAGGATCGAGGCTCGAGGCTCGAGGACCGGGGCTCGAGGATCGAGGCTCGAGGATCGGACCGGGGCTCGAGGATCGAGGCTCGAGGATCAAGGCTCGAGGATCGAGGCTCGGGGCGCTGGTGCCGCGATCTCTTGGGCGCTTCTGTGGTGGCCCGCGTGGGCCGTGTGCTGCTGCTCCGCCCTGTCGCCCAGGACAGGCCTGGGGGTAGGCGGCAGGCTCGTTTTCGCCGCCGTTGTGCGTGATTCGCATCTTCGGAGGTCGGGCCAGCAGAATCCTCGTCGTCCTCCTCCTCGTCCTCGTCCTCCCCGTCGTCCTTCGCCTCCTCGTCCTCGCCGTCCCCGTCCTCGTCCTCCTCGTCGTCCTTCGCCTCCTCGTCCTCGCCGTCCCCGTCCTCGTCCTCCTCCTCGTCCTCCTCCTTCTGCTCGGGGCGTCCCGCTCTGCGGGGGCCTCCCGCGACCGCTCAAGCAGGTGCCCGAGGCAACACTCAGCGGCGGTCGGGGCCTCCGAGGTGCCCGCGGCCGCAGCCTGCGGGCCGACCGCGTCGCCCCCTGGGGGCCGATGTCCTCGGCGTCCTTCCTTGGCCTCTGATGATGACGACGATGGCGACGATGATGACGATGGCGATGATGCTGGTGATGAGGCCGGCGACAACGATGATGATGATGATGATGAAGATGATGATGATGATGATGGTGATGATGGTGATGATGGTGATGATGATGATGATGATGGTGATGATGATGATGATGATGATGATGCTGATGATGATGATGATGATGCAGGTGGTGATGATGATGCTGATGCTGATGCTGATGCTGATGGTGCTGATGATGACGACGAAAACGATGCTGATGGCGATGACGATGACGATGATTACGGCGATGCTGACGACCATGATGTTGGTGATGATGAGGATGATGATATGCTAAATATAAAGATGACAAGGACGACGACGACAATCACGACGCCGACGAAGTCGATGACGACGACGATGATGACGACGTCGATGACGATGATAACGAAAAAGGCTGATGACGATGATGACGATGGTGACGACAATGATGTTGGTGATGATTCTGACGACGACGACCGCGACGACGACGACGATGACAACGACGACGACGACGGACGATGACGACGACGACGATGACGACCGCGACGACCACGACGACGACCACGACCACGACCACGACGACGATCGGCCCCTGCCACGGCGCGTGCGCGGCACCGGCGGCGACGAGCGGGCGTGGTCCCGCGCCGAGCGCCCGCTGCGCTGAGGCAGCCGCCCGCGAGCGGCGCCTCGGCGGTGCCCTCGCCGGCCGTGCGTCTCCGGCTGCCCGCAGGGCGCGGCTCGCCTCGGCCGTCACGTTGGCTCTGCCTCCTCGCCCTCGCAGTCGTCCTCGTCGCCTTCGTCCTCCCCCCTCCCCCCTCCTCCGCTGCCCCCCCCCCTCCTCCTCCTCCTCCCCCTCCTCCTCTTCTCTCCTCCTCCTCCTCCTCTTTCTCCTCCTTCCTCCTCCTCCTCCTCCTCCTCCTCCGCCTCTCCTCCTGGTGCTCTTCCTCTTCCCCCTCCTCTTCCTCCTCGTCCTCTCCCGCGAGCGTCCAGAGCTTCCTCCACCCCTATCGGGGTACTTCCTCCCGTCGCCGCCGCAGTCGTCGTCGTCGTCGTCGTCGTCGTCGTCGTCGTCGTCGTCGTCGTCGTCGTTTTCGTTTGTCGTCGTCGTCGTCGTCCGTCGTCATCGTCGTCATCATCATTATCGCCGAGCCTGCGCCGGATCAAGCGGGCCAGCGCGCCCATCGATGCCGGGCTGGGAGCCCGCTGCGGTGGCTCGATCCGCCAGGGGCTCGCGAGTATACACAATCGGCCGTGGCGTGCCTTTCTCCCCCCGCCCCCTCTTGGGGAAGAGCGGGGGTCGAAGGCGAGGATGAGGATGGTACCGCTGATGATGGGTCGTGGTGATGCACGAATCTGCGGATGATGATGGTGGCGATGATGCGGAATATCGGGGTGAGAAGGAAGAGGGAGAGGCGGAGAAAGATGAGGCAGAGGTGGGCGGTGGTGGTGGTGGTGTGGTGGTTGATGGTGCGTGATGGATAATGGGTGGTGGTGTTGTTGTTTGTGGTGGTGATGATAGTGATGATGCTGAAGGTGGTGGTGGTGGTGGATGGTGCATGATGGATGATGGGTAGTGGTGGTGCTGCTGCTGTTGTTGTTGTTGTTGTTGTTGTTGTTGTTGTTGTTGTTGTTGTCTTGTTGTTGTGGTCGTCGTCGTTGTTGTTGTTGTTGTTGGTGTTGTTGTTGTTGTTGTTGTTGTTATTGTTGGTTGCTGTTGTTGTTGGTTGTTGGGTTGTTGTTGCTGTTGTTATGGTTGCTGTTATTGTTATTGATGTTGTTGCTGTTGTTGCTGTTATTGTTGTTGTTGTTGGTGTTGCTGTTGTGTCTGTTGTTGTTGTTGTCGCTGTTGTTGTTGTTGTTGTTGTTGGTGGTGGTGATGATGATGGTGGTGGTGACGGTAGTTGTGGTGATGATGCTGCTGCTGATGATGCTGCTGATTCCTATTCAGCTGATGATTATGCTGATAATGCTTCTGCTGCTGATGATGATGCTGCTGATGATGATGATGCTGCTGATGATGATGATGATGATGATGATGATGATGATGCTGATGCTGATGCTGATGCTGATGATGATGCTGATGATGCTGATGCTGATGCTGATGATGATGATGATGATGATGATGATGCTGATGATGATGATGATGATGATGATGATGATGATGATGATGATGATGATGATGATGATGATGATGATGATGATGATGAGGCGGAGGAGGAGGAGCAGGAGGAGGAGGGAGGGAGGGAGAGGAGGGAGGGAGGGAGGGGAGGGAGAAGGGGAGGAGGAGGAGGAGGAGGGAGGAGGAGGAGGAGGTGGAGGGAGGAGAAGGAGGATGATGATGATGATGATGAGGAGGAGGAGGAGGAGGAGGAGGAGGAGGGAGAAGGGAGGATAGAGGAAGGAGGAGGGAGGAAAGAGGGATGGGGAAGGAGATCGGGAAGGGGAGGAGGATAAGGGGAGGGGAAAGAGAGGAATGGCTGGGGCGGAGGATAGTGCCGAATGTGGAAACTCGCGTGCCCCCAACCCATCGGCGGCGCGCAGGAGGTGGCGGGGCGAGAGGGGCTTCGTTCTGGGAGGGCAGGGGGGGGTCTCACCCTGACCTCCACAATATAGCACGAGGACGCTCTGATTTACCCTCCAGTCGAGGTTTGTTTTTAGCTGTACTGCTCGGCCTATATGTCTGGATTGCTATTTGCCAGCATTCTTGAAGGTCAGGATGAAACCTTCTCTTGTGTTGTGCGAAGCCCTCTTCGAATCCTGCGAGCCCCGCTCAGAAGCCTCATGCTTCCTTCCCCTGCCTTCACAGAGAGCAGCTCTGGAGGTCTGAGGAGATCTCCGAAGAACCCCAGAGATCCCTGGAGGCTTCCGAAGGCCTCTGGAGGCCCAAGAATCGGAGATTGATAGACCTCCTACCCTGACACGTCGATTAGCGAATTGGCCGTTTTCGGTTAGCGAGAGGGCGTCGCGGCCGTCATTTTTGCGGGTCCAGGTCCGTCGGTTTCGATCCCAGGCCGTTTTCACTGAAGGGTGGTTTGCTAAAGGGAGGCTTGTCCACCGCCGATCCCTGGAGGCTTCCGAAGGCCTCCGGAGGCCCAAGAAGGGTTCCAGAACAAGCGAGCTCTTTTTGGGCGATCGCGGCCTCGCGCGCAGCGACGAGGCGGAGAACGTGCAGCAGACAGCGAGACGCGCGCGGCGGCCAGGCCCTCGACATCGCTCAGGATGTAAGCTAGCAGCATCAAGCATCCGGGCATGAGTGGCGGGGAGAAGGCAGGCGAGACCACGGGAAGGGTACGCCATCGCCGCACGAGAGAGAGAGGAGCGCCGTGAGCTGCCCGGGCATGGACATCACGGGGAGAGAACATGTGCACACCAGTGGTGCAGCCCCACGGCGGAGACCGACGACGAGGAGCAGCACGGCAGGCGCAGGGAGGGGGCCCCGTGAGCACCGCGAAACACGTCGAGGAGGCAGGAAGGCCACAGCGGCGAGGCAGGGCGCAGGCAGAGGCGGAGAGGCGGGACGCAGGCGGAGCGGAGACCCGGCGCGGCGGAAAAGGGGCAGGGCTGTGCCTGCCGCCCGGCCTGCCGCCCCCGCCCCCTCCCCAGGGCGGGAGGCAGGCCGCTCCGGGGAAGGTCGCAGGCTTAGAGGTGGACACCAACACCAATGTTGGCGGGGTTCCTCCACCGAGGGGAGACGGTGACGGTGGTAATGTTCTGGCTTCCAGGGTGACCGAAAGATTACCACCAACACCGAAGTCCAGGATCGCCTCCCCCCTGTGGAGGCAGCCCCCTGTTTTGGTGTTGGTGCCCTTTTCCAGGCCTTCAAGAAGGGGGGCGGCCCCGCCGCCTGGCTCCGGAGACCCCCCGCGCGGGAGGGGGCAGGCGACGGAGCGGTGGCGACAGCAGCCTCGGGCTGAAGCTGGCGCCGTGTTCTGCAGCCGGGCGGCGCCCTGCATCGGGCAGGGCGCCTGGGGGGCCGGCGCGCAGGGCGTGGGCCGCATCGCGGCCCGCGCCCCGGGAGGGAGGCGGCGGCAGGCTGGCGAGTGGGGCTCGCCCGCGCCGCTGGGCCGGCCGCGGGAGGGGCGGGGGCGCGCGGGCGGCGGCGCGCGCTAGAGGCTGCGGGAGTGCGGGCGTGCGGGGCCCGCCCCGCGGCTGCCGGCGGGCCGCGCGCCACGTGGCCACGGGCCCGGGGTGTGCAGCGGGGTCGGCCGCCGCAGGGCTGGCCCAGAGGCGGCCGTGGGAGCGGTGGCGGTTGGCGGGGCGGGGGCGGCGGCCTGCGGCGGCGCGCGGGCGCCGCGGGGCGCCCGCGAGGCGCCCCGAGGCCCGAGGCGCCGGAGGAAGCCGCGGCGCGGCCGCGGAAGCGGGAGGTGCGCGCCGGGCCCACGGGCTGCCGACGGGCACACCGCCCGAGCGGGGCCTGTGCGCCGCCTGTGTATGTCCTGAGCCTATAGGCACACCGTTCACAATTGTAGGTCCTGTGTAGGTCCTGTGTAGGGCCTTCGCGCACAATTCACACACCATCCACGCACCGTCCACACACCGTCCACGAACCATCCACACACCATCCACACAGAAGCCACACAGGCTTCACACAGGCTTCGCACACAATTCGCACAACATTCACACACAATTCAAACACAACTCACGCACGCAATTCACTCACAGTTTACACACATCACAGACACACACGTCACACGCATCACAAACACATGTCGCACACACGCATCACACACATCTTACATACATCACGCACATCACACGCTCATTTCACACACACATATCACACATCATGCGCACATCACACGTTCGTATCACACACATCACACACATCGCACACACATCACAGAGGCGTCGCGCACACATCACACACACCACACGCTCATTACCCACACAAGCATCACACATCACACACATCACACCCACAATCACACATCACACACATCACACACGCACATTCATTACATTCACCACACACAGATCTCACACATGCACGAACACATCACAAACACATCACACACATCACACACATCACACACATCAGACACACTTAGCACACACGCACACATCACACATCGCACATCACACACCATGGACTTAACACACAGACACACACACACACACACTACACACATCGCACATATCACACTTACCACACACATCACGCACACACCACACACATTACACGCTCACACTTATCACACACACACACATCACGCACATCACACGCACATATCACACACATTACACGCAGACCGCACACATCAGACACATATATCACACACGCCATCCTCATCGCAGACAACACACATTACACGGATCACACACACATCCCACATATCACACACGTCACGCACATCACACTTTACACTCAGCACACGCATCAAACACATCACATGCATCGCACACATCACACACATCACACACACACACAGCACGCACACATCACCCACAACACACACATGCGCATCACACACATCACACACACACACATCCGACACACATCGCACCACCACACGCACACACATCACATACGTGTCACACACCACGTACATCGCAAACACATCACACACATCACACACAACAAATACACATCACACTTACATCACACACGCACACATCACACACATCGCACACACACACACACGCATCGCACGGACATCATCCACATCACATACAGCACGACCACGCCACACGTGCACAACACCCATCACACACATGACACAGCCATTATACACCTTTCAAACGCACATCGCACTCACCACACGCACCAAACATCACACACATCACAGACATCACACATACCACGCAGATCACACACATCACACACCACTCACACACAGCGCACACATCATACACTCAGACGCATCACCGCACACATCACATCACACACATCACACATCACAAACATCACACACACATCACATACACACATCGCACACGCACCACAACACATTGCACACACATCTCACACGCACACATCACACACCACACGCATCACACACATCACACGCATCACGCACATCACACACATCACACACCTCACACACTCACAACACACATCATACACCCATCACGCGCAAATGGCACACATCACACACATCGCACACGCCACACGCACCACACACATCACGCACATCACACACGTCACACACACCACACACATCACACCCATCATCCAACACAGACATCAACAAACCACACATCACACACATCACACACGTCAAGCTCATCATGCACATTCACACACATCCCACACATAACACAGAGTACATGCACTGCACACATCGGACATATCACACACATCACCACACCCACCGCACACAGCACACTCACCCTACAGACATCAATCACAAATCGCACCCATCACACACATCACACACAGCACGCACATCACACACACACATCCCACACACATATCACACGCATCACACACACACATCACACACATCACACACACCACACACGCACCACACACATCACGCACCCGCAACACACACTAGATCACACACAAAGCACACACCACACTCCAAACAAATCATACATACCACACACCACACACCACACACACATCACAAACACCACGCACACCACACGCATGACGCACATCGCACACATCAAACACATCACTCACATCACACGCACACATCACACACCCCATACTCACCGCACACATCACGGACACACAGCACACACACACACACCACGCACACACACACACACCACACACTCCGCACACACACCACACACACCAGACATACCACAAACACCACACAGCACGCACAACACACACCACACACACCACACACAAGACACGCCATACAACTCACACACCACACACAACACACCGCACACACAGCACACGTTCGAACACCCACTACACAACATTTAGCGGATCTTACACAACACGGAGACAGAACACACATCTAACGCACACGGCACACACTGCACATGCAAAA